TTGACTAGACTGGTCGGTTTTCAGCAAAATAGGTAAGGCTAGCTTTTTAAACTAGACTTAAAAAATCATTGCCTTGGCTGAGATGAAAAAAACTAAAACAGCAGTATTCACTAGATGGCAGCATAACACTAACATAAACTAATATACGTCTACTTAGCAATTACAAACCTTTTTATCAGTGTCCTTCAAACTTGTTCTTAGTTCTGAGTCAAAACTCATAAACTAAATGTATATTATTTGTGCTTTAACGTATCCACCCATTGAACAGTGCTGCAAAATTTGTCGGTGCTTTATAAATAATAATAATTACATTTTGAGCTCATCTAAAGTTCTGTTACTGAGACATATGAGCAGAAGTTTGGGTATTTTAAAACGGTGAATGGAGATTTATTGGTGTAATGGGATTGAAAAAATTATAAATGGGGAAATTATTAAGAATTTTAGGTACTCAAAGCAGATCTATCTAAAACTAAAATGTAGAAACACTGAGAAAAATAATTTAATGAATGCATCAGTCTACAAACACACCAAGCACTGGGAGGCTAGTGAGCATGTGCAACATTCGTCATGCTGTATGTAGCTGGCACTGGGCTGTCCTGCAAATTTCATGTGAATAGCTGCATTCGTGTAAACTGCTGGTTTTATATGTGTGTAAATGAAATGTATTCCTCTGATTGTTCGGTAGAATCATTCGAATAAACTAAGGGAATAAAACTACCGAACAATCAGACCTCCCCTGTGTGAAGTGTGTCCTCAATTACCCGTTGCAACATTGTTGAGAACGGGTAATTGACAAGTTAAGTAGCCGTCCTTTGTTCTCAGGGGTGGCCGCCATTCGACAAATGAACACGTGGCGGCAGCCATTTTAAAACTCCCGAACAGCAGTGTTTTGCTGTCGAGTGTCTGGAACTCAAATCGGACACTTGACTAGGCGAACACCGCTGAAACCTCCACACGCCCAGTCCGTTCGGTTCCTAACTACTGAACGGACCCTCGTTCGGTAGATAGAAAGAACCGAACAAGGGGATTCAGGCGAACCCTCCCTAGCCTCTATAGCTAGAGGTTTTCGTGCCATTTATTCCCTGACTCCAGGACCGACCGCAGGGCCCATTCACATGGTACCGCATTCGGCTGTTTCACTCAGTGCGGTCGGTCATTTTATTCCCTCCATAAATTTCCTGAACCCCTGGTCTGATCTGGGTGATTTTTGTATATGTTGTTCACCCAGATCAGGGCTACCAGGGGATGTATGATTTAAAGGGGTACCCCTACGTTTAGGGGTACATCCAGAAACAGGGGGAACTGCTGTACTGGATAAGGGGATTATGATGCCGGCTGAGGGGAGGAGATGTGTGGGAGGTTACCAGGACAGGATTGGCTACTGTATTAATGAATGTAATCCCTCCCTTGCATGGGAGCATGCTTTAAAAGGCCAGTGTGGAATAAAGCTTTCAGTGCTGCTCGTGAAACTGTGTGTCGTCCAGTTATTGGGATTGCTGTTGGGATACTGCTGTGTTATTTTGCCTGCTGGAAACCTTGCCTGTGGATTTACAATTTACTTGTTCCTGAGCCTCACTTGGATTATAAGCGGAGATAACCTGGGGAATATTGCATCTCCGCTACAATGTAACCAATCAGCATCTCCTCATAGAGAATAATTGACTCAATGTATCTCTGTGCGGAACATGCATCATTTCTATGCCTAGTGTGAAGACGCTGAACGATTGTCCTAAAGTTGCTGCAACACTGCATCCAGGAAGTCCCTCTAGTGGCTGTCTCAGTTACAGCCTCTAGGGGTGGACTCTGGCAGAAATATTTATACTGCCTTCTCCCATAAAATGTGGTGTGTACACTGCTGAGCCTGCAAGAACATTAAACCCTGGTACCTACAATTTCCCATTAACCCCTTTCCGACCTCGGACGTGCCAGGTACATCCAACAAAAAATGGTCGTTAATGACCTCGTATGTACCTGGTACGTTAGATAGTAATTCCCCACTTACCTGGTTGCTGGCAATCCCACGCCAGCGATCACGATCCTGGGGTCTGCCTGGGAGCTCAGACAGACACCCTCTGCCCGATCCAGCCCTCCCGTGCCATGTGATCGCAGGGTCCATGTGATTACATGGCCGGAATAGCCAGCTTATGCAGTGCCTGCAGGGGGCCTGCTTAGCTCTCAGGCCGTCCCCCTAATGCCTGCAGTTTGTAAAATTGAAATAACAGTTTAAAAAAAAAAAGTAGATCTATATTGCTATATTGGAGCCCTGGACTTACCTGGACTGGTGATCCGCGGTGATCATGCGATCGGGGAGACTGCCACAGACCCCAGCAGTCCCCCTGCAGCAGCTCCGGCCACCACGGCCCTACAGGGCCATATGATCACCAAGATCACATCGTTGCAATAGGAGTCTATGGAGCTTCCAGCATGGGGGACTGTCTGAGCTGTCAGGCAGTCCTCTAGGCTCCTAAAAAGTAAATATATATATATATATATATACATATATACATATATATTATATATGTATAATATATTATAAAAAAATTAAAGCATTTTATAATATACTATACATGTATATGATTATGAGTGTACTTTGAGATATATACACAAATATCTCACAATACACTTAAATGAAATCATTTATATGCATTATTTATAATATATTATACATATATAGGAAATAAAAGTTTGTGTGTGTGGGTGTGTGTGTGTGTGTGTGTGTGTGTGTGTGTGTGTATATATATATATATATATATATATAATATACAAGATCCAGCGCACTCACCTATCCACTAAACAGCAACTTCAATGTTGAAAGATTTTATTTTTTTATTTTTTATTTTTTTTAAAAACACCTAATCTAGGCAAAAATAATGGGGGTTTAGTTACATTATATGATCATACAGTGCATAAGCCTGCCACAACGTCAATGTACCCCATCTTTGGCAGGTCCTACACTAACAGCCTAATGTCTGCTCTTATGAATAAAATCTTTCAACATTGAAGTTGCTGTTTAGTGGATAGGTGAGTGCGCTGGATCTTGTATATTGTATTATTTGGCCCCCAGCAGCACCCCCATTTATGCATGTTAAGGTGAGTGCAGCCAACCCCCTCTTGTTTTATATATATTTGGGAGTCTAGCCAACTCCTTGGTTTTGCACCCCTCCCTGTCACAGGTGCCTCATCCCAGGGCCCTATTTAGCCTTGTACTGCAGAGAGCCCCAGATGGAATTTCTTTCCCCAAGTAGGTTAATCTCATAAGAGCAGACATTAGGCTGTTAGTGTAGGACCTGCCAAAGATGGGGTACATTGACGTTGTGGCAGGCTTATGCAATGTATGATCATATAATGTAACTAAACCCCCATTATTTTTGCCTAGATTAGGTGTTTTAAAAAAAACAAAAAATCTTTCAACATTGAAGTTGCTGTTTAGTGGATAGGTGAGTGCGCTGGATCTTGTATATTGTATTATTTGGCCCCCAGCAGCACCCCCATTTATGCATGTTAAGGTGAGTGCAGCCAACCCCCCTCTTGTTTTATATATATATATATATATATACACATAAACGTACACACGTATTATATGTATTTGTGTGTGTATATATATATGTATATATATATATACACACATACATACTCACGTATTATATGTGTGTGTGTGTGTATATATATATATAATATAAATTTTAAAAAAACATTTTATTTATATATATATACATATATATTTATATGTATATATATATATATATATATATATATATATACATAGATATATACACACACACACACATTCTACATATATATTTAACTATTAACTACTAATTATTTGATTTTATTAATTATAATTTGAAGGACCTGCCTGACCACCCAGGCAGACAGTCCAAAGAATTTAATTGGCAAGCCCTATATTTAACCCTGTAACTTTCAAAAACACCATAAAACCTTTACATGGGGGTATTGTTATACTCAGTAGACTTCACTGAACACAAATATTAGTGTTTTAAAAAGTAAAACTTATCACAACGATGATATCACCAGTAAAAGTGCAGTTTTTGTTTAAAAAAAATGCAAAAAACAAGCTCTTTAGCCAGTGTTTGTGACTAAGTGGCTATTACAAAAGACTGGAAATACTCCATTTTGAATTCCCTGGGTTGTCTACATTTTACAAATGGTATGCCATGAATGGGTTAATTTTCATTCCTGGGCTGCTATACGGTCTCAAAGGCAACATAGGCCCAGCAAACCAATCTGGCAAATTTCAATGTGCAAACATGGAAAAGGGGAAAGCCCTACATTTGACCCCTGTAAGTTTGCAAAAAAAACATAAAACCTGTACATTGGGGGCACTGTTGTACTCAGTAGATATTGCTGAACACATATTGGGGTGTTCTTTGTAAGTAACACATAACAGGAACTGATAATCCATGCCTAAAGTACAATGTGAGAAAAAAATAACACAAGAAAATGATTACCTAAAGGTTTGACTGGTGGTAGAATTAGTGCATGGAAAGTGTTAAAATACCACCATTTTAAATACCCTAGGGTGTCTTCTTTTCAAAGAAATATGTTTTGATGGGGGTGATTACATTGGCCTGCTTCAAAAATGTCCAAATAGGACATGGGTACATATGACCAGATGTGAAAATCGCAAGTTGGAAAACTGGAATGTGCACCCTCCAAATAAGGTCTTTTAGCCCCCAGAGAACCCAACACACCTGTACATAGGTGGTATCCCATGTACTCAGGAGATGTTGCTGAACAAATATTGGGGTGTTCTTTGGCAGTGACCTTTAAAGTTCTCCGTACATGTGTTCTTAAATTGCTATGTGTGTCAAAATAATCACCAATTTATTTTTTTAAAAATTTGCAACAGATTGGTGGTAAAATGGTTGCATGAAAAGAGTCAAAATACCTCAAGTTTAATACCTTATGTTGTCTTCTTTTATGAAATATATACATGTGATGAGTTATTCAGGGATTCCTGAGAGATATCAGTGTTACAATGTAACTTGCGTTAATTTTATTAAAAAATGGTTTGGAAATAGCAAAGTGCTACTTGTACTTATTGCCCTATAACTTGCAAAAAAAAAGCTAAGAACATGTTAACATTGGTTATTTCTAAACTCAGGATAAAATTTAGAAACTATTTATGAGTGTTTTTTGGTGGTTGTAGATGCGTAACAGATTTTGGGGATAAAATTTAGAAAAAGTGGTTTGTTTTTTTTTCATCATTAGAATTGTTTTTATAGAGACAAATGGTATATAATATGTGTGGGTACAGTAAATGAGTAAGAGGAAAATTACAGCTAAACACAAACACCGCAGAAATGTAAAATCAGCCCTGGTCTCAAACGGTCACTAAGGGGTTAATGATTATAACAACCACTCCAGCAAGAAAGAGCCTTTATTTTTAAATCGTGATTTAAATTCATTCTTACAGACTACGGTGTTCACATTTGCATCAGAACGCACCATTTTCATTTGTAAAATAAATTGTACTCCACTGTTTTTTTCATTTTTTTATTTAGGATTTTATTAGGATAACAGTGTTTTGTGACATACAGAGTAAATTCAAATCAGAATAAATACAAATCTGAAAGAATAGAGTACGAAATGTTTAAATGACATGACATAAGTTGACCACTCGGTGATTCAGAGAACATGTATGATAATTGCACCGGTCTGTATCTTGTGCCTGTGTGCAGTGTCGATCCTATCAATTGGTATCTCACAGAGTGGCTCGCATGAAGGTAAGACAGGGTTCCCAAGCTGAAGTGTAGAATCTATATTTGTGTGTCAAAGAAAATGTCAGTTCTTCCATCTGTCTCACCGCCTCCACTTTTTGGATCCACTCCCTAACGGAAGTGGTCGAGGATCGTTTCCAACACAGTGGGATGAGTAAGTTGGCTGCAGTGAGAAGATGATTCAGTAGGATACGTTGGGGTTTTTCTCAGAGGGGTACGGTAAAAAAAGAACAGCAGAATTTCAGAGGTTTTGTGTATGTGGATGCCTGTGATTGTATGAAGAAGATTTACTATTATATCCCAGTATTCTTGTATTACGGGACAAGGCCACCAAATATGGCCCAGGGTACCCCTATTTTGGAGACATTTTCAGCATTTGTCTGTGGTGTCAGGGAAGAGCCTATGTTATTGAGAAGTTAAGCTCCTCTTCCCATTTTCTTAGTGTAAAGTGGAAGGTTGGGGGCGTTCTCCTGTTGTATAATCTTGTGGAATGTAGATAGGTGTTTGACCTTAATTTTGATCAGATTAATTTTGATCAGATCAGTCAGATCAAATCTTTTTAAATACCGAGCTAAATCTAAGTTGTACTCCACTCTCATACACGCCTGTCTATCCATCTCTTCTATAATCCACCGAAATCCATGTCTTTTCATTCTTCTTTCTGTTTTTATGCACCTTTTCATTTCTGATGATTTTACAATTATTTACTGGCTCACAATATAAAAAAAAAATGAGTAATATTATTAGGTGGAAAAAGCGCAGTCACAATTTCAAGGATTTTTTTGTACATTAAAGGAAAACGGAAGAACTTGAAAGTTGTTTACCTCTCACATAAGAACATTTTTTGAAAAAAAAAATTGTAACCCGACTGCAGGAAGACAGACTAGTTTGCTGCCTTGTTTGGGGTGGTATTTCTGTCTCACTAACAAGACCGCTTCGTGGCTCCTTGCACTCAACCAGGTTCCTGAGTATGTTACTACTTCCAGATTTACAATCTCATTTGTCTCCAGTCCAGTCTGTCTCTGTACACCCATAGTTTGGGATCTCTAAAAGCTGGTAACATTAGTTTAAGATGACCAGATCATTTGATATCTCTTACAACTTTCTTGCATTCACTTGCTTGCAATCCAGTCTCTTACTTTCCTGCTCAATGTTGCTACTGCACTTGCAATGTCAGGTCTGTGAGTTGTAGCTATATACAAATGTACCTATTATTGTTCTATACATATTGTTGCTGGGTAAAGTCTCACTTTCTTCAGACTCTGTCAGGAAGTTTGTACACATCAGTGTAGTTACAGAATGGGCTTCCTTGAAATCCATTAACTCTATAAATTTAGAAATTTGTATATTTGATTGTGAAAATAACTACTGTCATCTATTCCAACATTTCCAACGTTTCCCTTTCTATTGACTTATCGTTTTTTGTTCAATTGTTAAACTATCTCTCCTCGGTCTTTCTCTGTGCAAGATCATGTAATCTACATAAACTATTAGATAGGTATATTTTCCATTTCTGTTTCTGTTAAATAGATGAGTCTGCTTTATTCTGAATGACATTTTGTTCTGGGAATATTTCATATAGTTTCTCATTCCACCCTATTGAAGCTTGTTTGAGTCCAGATAGTACATATTAAACATGTATTTGTTTAAAATCCTTCAGGTTCCATTATGTATCCCTTATCTTATCAAAATTTCTTATCTATTTGCAATTTAAGAAAGCTGACTCTGTCAAACTGTTCAAAATGTTCTGATTTTGTTGAACATAACTACAGGTGCAAAAATCTAATCATAGTCTTCTCCATAATTTTGAATAAATCATATTGGTACTAGTGATGTCCCGAACTATTCGCCGAACGGTTCGCTAACTGTTCGCCACAGTTCGCCATGAACGGTTCGCCGCGGACTCCAGTCAGCTGACACATTCCAGCCAATCAGCAGCAGACCCCCCCTCCCAGACCCTCCCACCTCCTGGACAGCATCCATTTTGAAGCTGCATTCTTAGTGAGCTGTCCAGGAGGTGGAAGGGTCTAGGAGGGAGGGTCTGTAGCTGATTGGCTGGAATGTGTCAGCTGACTGGAGTCCGCGGCGAACCGTTCGTGGCGAACAGTTCACGAACCGTTCAGCGAATAGTTCGGGACATCACTAATTGGTACCAGTCTAGTTTTTTAACAGATTACATTTCCATCTCTATCCAGTTTTTTCTTAAAGGGATACTCTACTACCCAAATCACTGTTTAGTAGATATAACCCCAATGAAATATGCATAAATTTAATTATGCATTTTTTCATTGGGGGTGTATATAAATAAATTTAAAAAAATCTGTCTGAAACCTATTTCTTATCATTTTAAATATGTAGTAACATGGTGTGGCATACTCACCACCATTTAGAAGAAAATAAAATTCCAGGCACACTTGGGGTTTCTTCTAAGAGACAGTCTTTGAAATTTGAAACAAGGAAACAGAGACAACATTTTGGCTCCTCTCAGAGCCTATATCAAGAGGGGAGGAGCCAAAATGCTGTCTCTATTTTCTTGTTTCAGAGAGGAGCCAAAACGTTGTCTCCACTTTCTTATTTTAAATGAAAACAAAAAAAAAAGACTGCCTTTTAGAAGAAACCTCATGTGTGCCTGGATATTTATTTTCTTTCATTTGATGTCTTCATGGATTGGCCCTCCCTTTCTGGAGCACCCTGCGTGAAGTATTTCCCCTTTTTTAGTGTGTGCCTTACATTTTTGTTTGTTTGTTTTTTGCAAACGACTGTACTCACCACCATTGTCTGTAAGAAGTGCTTGAGGAATTCTCCCAAACTGTGTCTTAACACTTCTAATGTAATGTTCTCAGCACTTCCTCTGCAGTTTCTGCTTTTGTCCCTAATGATATAAGGAATACAATGTCTGGAATAATCATGAATACATGTTAATATATATTTATTATGCCCTTAAGTCATTGGCTGTATTAGACCACATATATCTGAGTGAATGAATTGCAGAGACTTTATTGAATTCCTTTGACTCTGCTTGGTAACAGGGTCCTTGTACCTTTCTCTATTAGACAACATTCACATGCTTCTCTGTTGTGACCCTTCTGACAAAGTTTAATGTAGACTTTTCACTTCAAACCTTTTCTCTCTAGATCAGAAATTGCCTTGTGCCGCATATATCTACAGTTTGAGCAATTCTTGCTATGTTGGTTTCTTCTTTTTGTGTTTTTAATAAAAATACTTTATTGCTTTCAAAACCCTGTGTGTGCAAAGTACCATCTTTTGTTATTTTCAATTTATTGCTATTGAAGTTCACATCGAATCCATACATTTTAAACACTAAAACACTGAGTATATATTATCTGTAAGTTCGGGTTGCTAAATTACATTTTGCACATTATTATGTAATGTCTCTGCTTTTGCCTTTTTTGCCTCAGCCTTGTTTAGACAGTTTGTTGCCACTAGTAATGGACACCATTTCTGTAAATGTATTGTCTAATTTTTTGAAGAAATTAGTCTTTGCACGTGAGAAAGTGCACCTGATTCAATATTACAACAATATTTAATAACGGTGTCTGCTTTTTTTGAACTATAAAACAATTGCTACTGTGTTCTCTTCTCTTCTGCCATGTAGAGGCTTTTTCTTGTCTATGGTTGCCTTGTTTGAAGCAAGGCAGGATTTATCTCCATAAATAAAACATTTTGCCCTTTTTGTGTATAATGCATTGCTTTGGCTGTTGTGATAAGCTGATCTGTCTCATTTGTATTGCAAATGCTTGTGTTTCCCACTTCCTGCATTTTCAGCTTTCCTGGACATATTTTACAAAGAGATTCTCTGTAGTTTCTAGTGCATTAATTAAAGAGATGCTGCACAAACCTAAAGCTCTTTAGCTTGCTGGAATGCTTTATGTGTGAAGAGTGTGTCATTATTATATTATTATTTTCTCATTTTGCAAAAAGTGCAGATTTCAAAAGAAATTGTCACTTTTATAAATTAACCTTCTTACACCCCTTGGTTGTCAATAAAAAAAAACAGCCCTGTTACTTCCTGGTTTGGTTAACTCATTGGAGCTAAACTCAAGAGGCAAAAATTGCCCAGAGCACCTGCCTTGCCAAGACTTCTCATTGAGCTGTGTTGGGAAGTTTGTGACTGGACACACTAGGCTAGAGAAGAAGGGGAGGGCTTGCAAAAGGTGTAGACCATAACATGATTTTGTTATTTCATGATAAAAAGTAATGATTTTATAAAAGACAATGAGGAGAGCATTGCTTTAGCCTTCCTTTACCTTCCATCAATAGCGGCAAAAAATAAACAGTATAGAAAAAAATAACATAACAAAATAACAGTGACACCAGCCAATCCCTATTCAGTGCCAGTATAACAAAAAGCACAACCCTTAGGCCTTCCTCTTTCTTTGGTGATGCAAAAATAAACAATAAGAGCAAACCACAAACAAATAAAGTAAACAAGAACAGCCAAGGACACATGATCTGTGGTGGCCACCCGGATAGAGACAC